CCGTGCAGCCCGCTCCTCACCTCATCTCCAGGCGGGTCCGCGCTGCCGCCCCAGGGACAAATCAGTGCAGCTCACTCGCCGCGGGGAGGGACGCAGGAGCCGCAGCCCTGCACACCATCCCCGCCCGCCTCTCCGTGCGTCCCGGAGTCCGCTCGGGATTCTCCCTCGCGAGCCGCCGTACTACGGAGCAACCAAGCTGCGCTCGCTCCCCTCTCCTCCGCTCTTCTTTACCTCTCTCACTCCCTCCCTCGCTCCCTCGCTCCCTCGCTCCCGCCTATCTCCTCATCTCCCTCGGCTGCCTGCCCCGCCCCCGTCCACCCTCCGTCTCCGCCCACAGGTGGGTGGGGACAAACAGCCTACCAATCGGAAGAAGGGGCCCGCACCTTCTCACCGCCCCCTGCCTCTAGCCCCGCCCACCACGGGAACAAATGAAGGGGGACCGATAAAAATGGAAGTTAACAGAGTGACAGCCGAGTAAGCCAATCGGCAAGCTCAAAGCGGGCAGGCGTAAGCTTCTTCCCCGCCCCCCTTACAGAAGGCGTAACCAGAGGCTTCTGGTCTGGGGGTTCTTTGACCCGGTTTATGTAGATTTCGTTCCAAGATTTCAGTGTCTCTGTTCGTCGCCATGCGAGATACTAGTTACGATGCTTTCACCTAGTCTAGTTACGGAAGATTTTAAAGGACAGAATAATGTGGAGGCGAAAAAGGGAGGTGTGGCACAGTCCAAGTAAGGTGGCAGGGCAAACGGTAGAAATGATAAAGGGTGTGTGCGGTCTTTAACTGAAATTTGCATAAAACGGAATCCATCCAGGTGACTACAACTTCACCCATTTATTGGTAGCCCCTGTGCGCCGCCTCGCTCCTCCTTGGAGCAGAACATGCCGGGAGATGTAGTTCCAAATTCGGTTGCTATGGCGTTCTCTACAGCCTCCGGGAGTCCCAGAGTGATGAGCGACTTGACCAACGGGAGCAGCGCCTGGGCCGGCGGGGGCGGGCTCTCTGCAGAAAGATTTGAAGGTGGCGGTGGCGAAGGCGCAGGCCGTTAGGGCCGCACGGAGGCAGGTGAGCCCCGGGAAATACGTCGTGTGTCTTGGGAAAGAGGGCTTTGGACGAAAGATCGAGAGACTCCCCGAGCAACCGTCCAGCCTTGCGGCGGATGGTGGTTCGCGTCGCACCCCAGGTCCCCTCGGGCCCAGGCCTAGCTTAGCTGAGGGCGCCGAGGGGCGGGTAAGGCATTTAACCGACGATTTCCTGGTCCTTACAGGTGTTGATTGTAAATTTTATCTCAATTTGCATCTCCCTCCACCTTTAATGAAGGCAAAAAGTCTGGCAGTTTCTTTCACTGAATCTCCCGGGTTGGATTTCCCACACCTGCTTCTGTTTGTTCTTTTGAGTTTCTTTTTCTTTCTTTACTCCTCTGCTTTCTCCTTCACTTTCCTTTTTTGGTGAACAATTACCTAAATACAGCAAGTGTGTTCGCGTTTGTGTGACTATTGGGCCAGATTTGCCCTCTTAAGCTAAACGGCTGATACTCTGGAGCAATGCGTAAGAATCACCTCAAAATTTGTTGAGGTGCAGATGCTGATTCTGTAGGTTGGGCAGGAACTGAGACCCTGCGATTCTAACAAGCTCCCAGGTGCTGCTAGTCCACGTTATGATTAGCAAATTTCAATATCAGCTCTGTCCAAAACAAGTATAATGCGAGCCACTTACGTAATTTAAAATTTTGTGGTAGCTACATCAAAAACATGAAACATGTGAAATTAATTTTAATATGGTTCATTTAATCCAGTATATCCAAAAGATTATCATTTCATCACATAATCAAATAATTTTAAATTGTGATATTGTACATTCTTTTTTCTTCGAAATTTGATGTATATTTTACATTTACAGCACATCTTAATTCTGACTGGACAGTTTAAGTGCTCCTTAGCTACCTGTGGCTAGTGGCTACCCTTGTTGGACAGCGCAGATCCAGATGGTAATGAATCGCCCACTGCAGAATCTAAAAGGTGTGAAAGCTCAGGTTGCCTTTAACCGAACCCTTTGCTGCTCTTTGAGATGGGCTTCAGAACTACTTTCAAGGTTCTCTGCTCCATTTACAGAAATTGTAAAAATAGTCAACACTGATTGAATGCTTGTTTTGTGCCCAGTATTGTACTGGGTGCTTTGGATGTATCCTTCAATCCTTACAGCAATCCTTTGAGGTAATTACTATTATTATCTCTTTTATAAATATGAAATCTAAGGCCCAGAAGGTTAAAATTAAATAGCCCGAAATTAGATCACTAGTAAGAAGGAGAACCAGAATTCAAACTCAGGTCAGTTTGACTTCTAAATCCTATCTGTCAACCATGGCGGTATATAATTATTCTTTTTTATCAATAATTTCACTTCATTGATGCCTCTGTTCAGTTTATGGCAGAGGATGAGATATTCAGATATGAAACAGAGAGTTCCCCATGCAAGGTTAAGTTGCCTGTCAGTTGCAGTGAAATATTTTGATAATTTTACAATTCTTAGTGTTCTGCGTTCAAAATCAAAGTTCTGGATTGAAGAAGAGTGTTCAGAACATCGGGATCTTAGGCCTCTGGACCATTACTATATCCTGGGTGGTATTATGTCTTGATTCACTTGCGTACTTCCCTAAAGATGGGAAAACGTGAAAATTCTTAAAATATTTTACTATGGAAACATTTGATAATGTTTTGTTTTTAGTAAAACCATTTTTTTTAATTAGTAAAAATGTTTTCTTGCTCTTGTGAACTTCACATAGAATATTTCAAAGACAATTTTATTTGTGATTTTTCTAGACCCAATGAACAGTAGTATATGGAACTAAGGAGAGGTTTTATGATTAGAAGAGTGAAAACGTACATACCTACACATGCTAAAATATGGTATTTTGCAAAATCATTTTCTCTTTTTATACATTATAATAAATATGACATCCTGTAAATTATTTTCTCTTGATTTTGAATTTATTAGCAAATATTTAATCAAAATTGTAATTTCTATTTTGCATCTGAAACAAGAAATGATTTTTTTAAGATCTTACAGCGAACACAAAAATTAAGTAAACATTTACAAACTGCAATGATGTTAGTAGAAAAGATTGGTTAAATCAGTTGAAAAGGAGGAAAAGTGTAGTAGAGATTCGAAGATCCCTCAGTTGCTTTTATGTCCCTCATCACCACCTGCATTGTCCCAGTGTCACATGATTAAGCCAGCATAAAGAGAAGATTCTTTCATCACACCATTGGCTCCATTGTTTCCCAATAGTACAGTATGGGAAAATATGATGCTAATTCAGAAATATAAATTAAAATTAGGTTTCTGGTGTTCGGGATCTTAATATATTAAATGACCCACAGTGAATAGTAAGATCAAAGAACTAATGACCATCTCACCTCCCCAACCCACCCACTAGAGGTACTGGTAGGGGAGTGCCTCCTGTAAGAATCCTAAATGAAAAGATATTTTATAAATTAATAAATAATAAAAGTGAAGCTCTCTTGGAGGCAGGAGAGTTAATCAAAAATCTTTTGAAATTCAAAAGACATCATTTTGGGGAGCTATTGTTGGGAGACAGACACGTTGGAAAACCATTTGTTGCATAGAGGCAACAATTCGACATCTCCAAGCAAATGCCTTTTTTTACTTTTTTGTTTTTTTTCTTCTACCTAAAGCCTGTATCAAAAAAAAAAAAACTTCCCTAATTCTTCACCTATCTTTAGGTATCAGGTTGTGTGAGGTGTAAAGATTATGCCATATGTGTTTAAATTCAATCGAGTATGTCTTTGATAATGTTTATAGAAGTCTAGAGTGTCATAAGAGGCTTTAATATGGTCATCTCAGACCCCTCCCCCCTCAAATGATGCTTGAATCCACTTTATGATGCCACTGTGAGTATCTATCCAGCCTCTCTTTAAATCCCTCCAGTGATAGGGACCATACAACTTCATGTATTTTCCTAAGTTTAAGACCTAAAATTGAAAGTAAAGGTTCTTATAACATTATTAGCTAGAAACGATTTCTAGAGTCTAGCCAGGTGTGAGCCACTATCACAGTGTCTCTTGTGCCCATCTTGTAACAGGCACAGGAGAGTAATGTAGTTGTATGTAGCAAAACACCTGTATACTCACTGCTCGTGCGAAGTGTCGTTAGAGTATACAGATTTCTAGACTTGCCTACACATTATAGACGTGTCCTCCAACTTAGAACCGTGCATTCACCTCCCTCTTTAAGAAGCAGAGCTAGCCTATCTACTTAGGACTACCATTCTCCACAACCTGCAAAGTATGGTACTTAAACCAAACCTCCATCTAGTTAGTTTGATTTGCTGGCCATATTTTTTAACCAAATATTTGGGCACATCGTTTGACATATTTATTTGTTATGTGGACATGTATGAAAAGTCTCAAATTCGTAAAAACATTGTTAAAACTTAATATTAAGTCACCTCTTCAACATAATTGAAGATTTATCTCTAACAATCAAGCTAGTATCATAATGCTATGCACAAATCCTGGCATTATGATGACCAGATGGGGCCGCATTTCAGATGTGACTTTATCTGTTTTTTTTCTGTAGTCTACCTGCTTGACAATATCTATGCTTTCCTTAAAATGATAATGAGGGTGGCTTAGAAATATTACTGAATCTTGAACCTGAAGTGGCTACAGTATTACAAAGTTTGACTTGGGGAATAATAGAAATTTGAGCATATAAGAAGAGTTTGGACTTTCAGGAATTAAATTGTCCACAGATGGATCTGGATGAGAGAAGGAAATGAAGCCATCAGCAGCCTGTGGCCATAGTCCAGGCCTGAGGCATTACAATGTTAGCTCATCACTTGTGCTAATACCTATCAAAACCAAAAAAGAGCAGGTATGCCAGAACATCAAAAGATAAAAGAAGCTTTATGGTCAATAACTTAATACAGAAGAAGAAATTATAATAGATTCTAAGATATCTTTGATGACTGAGGATTGGTACAGCAAAATCTTATTTTGGAGAAAGATGAGTCCAGTTTTATGTCTCTTGAATTTGAGGTTGATTTGATACTCAAAACACTTATGGTTTGAAAGTGTAGATAAGGAATGATCTGTAAAGGTTTTATTTACAATTATTAATAAGCGATCTCCTTGTGGACTTAAGTGTAGCAGGAGAAAAGCTAGTGAAATCCGTATTGCTGTTACAACTAAGTTGCTGTTATACGTAAGAAGCCATTGAAAATTTCCAATTGATTTTTTAGAAATCCTTTTAAAAAGTACTTTTATCAACTGTTTTCTTGAATTGTTATTTATAGCAAATGTTTAATTTATGCAAAGTCCTCTACTTTGTACCAAAAATTATTTAAAATCGGTGTCTTAATTTTTGTTTCTCCAGATTTGTTAATAGGTTTAACGTGTGACCATTATAAAAATGAAAAGTATTACAAACATAATTCTCAGCTTGTAGACTTATATCAAATGTATTTAAAATCTGATGTACCTGGAAAAATATAAAAATTTTATGCTTTATATAGAGCACATCAGCCTACCTTTTTAAACAGGTTTATTTTCATTTAAAAGTTCTACTTAGCACTTATTTGATAAAGGAAAGTTTACAGTAGAACATGTAATTTTCAAGTCACATGTCATTCATTCTTGGAAATGGCATAAGTATTACATATTTTAATTTACATTTTTATTTTATAAGGTGTCCCATTATTTTATTTCCTTGTGCAAATATCTACACTCAATAAAAATTTTACTAAGTAATGGACTAAACATTCCATTTAATCTAGACCAGTGCCTAAGAGACTATGTGGGCCTTGAATACCATCCATTCCACCATTTTCTGAATATCAGGAACTCAGTATTCCTTTTTTGGGGTTGCAAAACAAATAATATTCCCTCAATTTCCTTGCCAGTTTTGTAAAAACACTTCTCTTCCTTCGCTTTGTAATTTTGAGTGTGTTTTTGTTCCTATATAGTTCTTACTGGACCAACTAAACATTCCTTTTTTTTTTACCAGCCAGGCCAATTTTAACCTAAAATTTGGAGGAACTATTTAGGATGATATAACTAAAAATATTGGCATTATTATGTATATGATATTTGCTCTAGTGCAGTTATCTTTCTGGGTCTTTGAAACTGGGGTGCATGCAATTTGAGATCCATGTGACTTCTGATCTGGGAGACATCCCATATGTTTTAAGATGCAGTGGGTTGAGAAAATAGTGGCTTCCAGAATTACAAAAGGAGATTCTTTGAAATCAAGGTTTTGTGTTAAAGTTCCATTTCTCAAAACGGCAACACTAGTACCTCCAGACTAAGTAGGAGCAGAGATTTATTTATTCACTAATAATGGATATTGATTCTCCCAAGCAATTCACTGGAGGAACTAACTAGTAAGTGAATAAGGCAAGGTTTTGTTAGTATGTAATGTAATCTAGAAGAATGAACAGATGGAGTAGATTGAGTGTCACTGGGAGAGATATCAGGGAGGGAGTAGGATTGAGCTTTATCGCAGAATCTGTAGAGTAAGTACAGCTTAGTCTCAGAGAACAAACGATGCCTAGAAGCCCTGAGACGGGGGTAACCATATGGTGTGAAGTCATAGTGACTAGATCAGACAGAGGGTGTGTGTTGGAAAAATGGGGGAGTAAGATCAACTTGGGACAGTGAATAATGTATTTAGACAGCCTTGAAAGCTAGGCAGGAGAGGATAGATTTAATGTCATAGGGAGTGCATAGCTGCTGTGTCTGTGCTTAGTAGGTTCTGCCCCTCTCCCCTACCTTGCCAACCATCACATTAACATACACACAAAGCCCCTCTGTAACCCAGGGTTAGAATTGATTTAATCAGAGCTCACCCTGGTTTTATATACTTTGTTAATACATGCTACATACATAATTATATATGTCTTGAATGTATAATCATTTCTGTTAGTTCCAGCATTTGATCACTATATTCTAAAGAGCAGCAACCATTGCTGAACTACTCAGTGAAAACCCTTTATATGGCTCCATTAGATCCTCTAAGATTCAACATTAGGCTTGTTTCATGGGCATGGGACCTATATGGTTGCATTGGACTTCACACTCAAAAGGAACATATACACGTCTGGTTTAATGTTCTGCTGTCACCATCTTGAAATTTTCATAATTACCGAACAAGGTTCCACACACTTTGATTTTGCACTGGGCTCTGCAAATTATGTAGCCAGTTTTATCAACAAGTACTTAATAATTGACAATCTTAAACTGAAGGATATAGGATTCTAGTTTTAAGTGAAGTATGTAATGTTAGCAGCTCAATAGAAAACTGTTAAAAAAAATGGTTAACGGAAATTACTTTGGAGTTGGTAGCTCCTGGTTTGTCCTAGCTCTGGCCCAGCTGGTGCTATAAGATCCCAGATATGTACTTTAACCTCTGTAAGACTCAGTTTCCTCATTCATTAAATAAATGTAGTAATAGTACTTTTACCAGGAAGCATGTACAAGAATGGTCTTGACAGGATAGTGTGTAAAATCCCCAAACTGGAAACAATCAAATGTCTATCTCTAGTGGAATGGGTAAATAGTATTCCTATAATGGAATACTATATAGCAATAAGAATGAATGAACTACAACTACCAGCAACAACATGGATGAAACAAACATAATATTGAGAAAAAGAAAGTGGGCCTACAGGAGTATGGTTTCATTTATATAAAGTCAAAACCAACAAAACTAATTGGTGCTGTTAAAACTGGAAGGATGCCTAATATTCTCAGAAGGGAGAGGTAGTGACTAAAAGCTGGAGTTCTAGTGATGTGTTTCCTACTGTGACATAGCCATATTCACTTTGTAAAATTCAGCAAGCTATACAATGTAATCTGTGCACTTTTCTATGTGTATTTTATTCTTCTATAAAATTTACATTTAAAAAAGTGGTCTTCCCATACAGTAACTATGAAAATTAAAGAAACGACTGTGGAATCCTTAGAGATGCTTGGAGAAGTCCACAGAATACAGGTCCAAATACTCCCATTAAACGGTTGTAAAGTTATAGAAGAATTACGGGCACAATTTCAATGAGCGTATTGATGTTTCACTTTTTCCTTTTTAAAGGTGTTTTTTAAGACTGAAATCCTTTTAAATGACACCTTTGGTAATTAAAATTGAGCTCTCTGGCCCTCAGAAGTTTTTTTCTGAGTAGATCTAATAGTTTTTATTGAATAGCAGAGTGAAATTAAGCACAGGCTCACCTTTGTGTGAAAGGTTGAGCCGTAAACCCATTCTCCCTAAGACGTGTTCCCAGAGACTATATTGCATATTCTCTTATGTGATCACTTTTAAGAACTATTATCTAAATTTACTTGTTTGAAGACTAGTTTTATAATTGTCATTTTGTCCTTTGCCAGCACTGTTTTTTAATTTTTGCTTTCATTCTGTTAGACATTTTATTAGTTTATTTCATGTATATTTTTCTTTTTTTTAGGTGAATATGAAAGGTTTATATTTTCAACGAAATTCTACAAATGAGGAAATAACATTTGTATTTCAAGAAAGAGTAAGAAAAATTGTTTAATCATTAAATGAAACAAGGTTAAGTATATTAGCCCAGGTTTAAATAATCTATTATGTTATTTTGAATGGAAATTAAATGAAACTCTATAAATGACTTTCCTCTAATTCTATGTGACAGTGGTGATCCCTATTTTACTATAATAGTATTTTTAAAAGAGTTTCTACAAAAGAGATTTTAGTTCCTCAGGATGGTGGCATAGATATTAGGATAACAGAACAACCTTAGTAATCTTATATATTGCAAAATTAACTCATCTTATTCTGAATACCATAATAGAGTGAATTTCCAGATTGTAACCATATTTCAGAAAATATTTTCTCTCAAATTGTGAGATGAAAAAGGGTTTTAGAAAAGCATTGTTTTCCACACTAATTTTTGGGCTTTGCAAAGTTAACTTATTCACTAAGTTTTAAATGGTTTCTTGTTTTTTACTACTTTTAAGAATAGATAGTAGAATTTTCATATATGGTGATTGTTTGGAATTTTTTTGTGGCAAGCCAAAATCATTCCTCTGTAAATTTAGAGACGAAAACTAAGTGCTGTTTGTATTTCATAGATGTATATTTCATAGTAGTAATAAGAATTTTTGGATCATGAACACAATCTAGTTTTTCTCATTATCTTTCACTAACTCCAAAATCATTTAGGTCAGGAGTCTAAATCTCAAACAGCTTGGCTTCTACCATTAGGTCAACATGAGGGTTGAGAAGGTTCCTCTGGCTTGGAAAGAATTGTCTCCAGGCTCACACAATAATGAATAAAATCCACAAATTCATTGATATTATTGAATATCTTTATACTATCACCAAATAGTATTAGATATGAGATTTAAAAAGAGATACTCCCAGAATATTGTGTTCATGTTTAAAACACAGTGATCCCTTTAATAGACCATGGGAGGGACTATGCAAGTAGCTATTTTTAGCTAGCTTTTGATCTAATTTTGAGGCATATCAGGAGTTGAAGAGAATATTTTAATTATTGAGAAAAGGTAATATTTAATAATACAGGTGAATGACATTGAGTGCCTGAGTGCGAAATATTTTTTTGCATTTGAAGTTATATCTGGCTGTGAAAAGGGAGCATAATTAAGTTCCATTAAATTTATACTTTGACTCCAGAATCCCATGGGGCATGCTGAAATGTCCAAGACAGATGTTAAGCGAGGCAATATTAAATAAGATAAACAAGCAACACTAAAGAACTTCATTTATAGCATTAAGAAATTCCAAAATTAATAAAGGCTACATGTTATATGTATATATGTATAAGGATGTCCCTGTGTGAAGGTTAGATGCTTTGAGATTATTTAGATTGAAATGAATTAAATATTTGTTGCTCTACTTGGTTATCCTGTTTATTGTCTACACATATATGTGTCCATGTCAGTATCTGATGACATTTTCAAAATATGTATCCTAAGCCTTTCTTAAAAATTTACCCCAAAATTCCTTTTATTCTAGTTTGGTAGTATACTATTGAATAATTACTCATAGCTTTTTCAGTTAAGTTGGCTGTAAGATTTGGGGTCTGTTTCATTTTGTTCCATGAATGAAAATTTTTACAACATAAAGTCATGTTCTCAAAGGAATGTTTAATATTCTGTTTTCATTCGGTTCTAGGAAAATCTTCCTGTTACAGAGGATAACTATGTGAAACTTCAAGTTAAAGCTTGTGCTCTGAGCCAGATAAATACAAAGGTACTGGTGCTTTCATTTTGGCCAAAGTCAAATAAGAGTTTCATAGTATATTTAGTGTACATATGTATTATAATGATATCTGACTTCTGAGTGCCAAGAAATTATCATCATCCTTAGAAGAATAGTTCGGGGAAAAGTTTTATATGAATTTGCATATTTCTTTATTAAGATAAATTATTAGTCTAATTGAAGTCATGTATTTTATATTAACATATGAAAATACCTTATAAACTCCTTTACATTGTGAAAGCCTGAAAATTTATAATTATTAAGGCCTATAATCAAGGAACGAATTACCTTTATAAATATAGTAAAAATATAGAAACCTAATTTATTAACTATTCTATAGATAATTTTAATTAATGTCTTTAGAGTTCGTGTTGTTTCTGTCATTTCTCTTTGTGTTTCTCTCTTACACTTCCCCAACCTCACGCCACCCAGTAGCTTTCTGTTATTGAACATGAAATACATAGAAAGTTTTCAAATGGTAAATTGTGCTTAAGTGCTATAATAAATATAGCAGGTCTAGATACTCGGTTTTGTAAAGATTAATACCATAGTTTAATTGGACCCTTAACTTATTGGATTATAATGTCACCATAATTTCTAGGAATCTAAAAGTTTTCTGCAATAAAATCACATTTAGGGAAATTATAGAACAAAGTTAGAGGCTTTCATTGGGCAACTCTGTAACATGAGCCTAACTTGAGAACCGAATTAGTGAGATGCTCTAAAGTCTTTTCACCAGGAATACTAGTACTACATGTCTGCAGGGTTCTTGTGTTCAGCCTTTCTAGGGTGTTCTTTTTAAAACTACGAAAAATTCATTAAACTCCCAGTCTAGGAGATTATCTCCTGTCTAACAGAAAGAAATAGAAAATATAATAGTCAATTTAATGAAATATTACACAACTATTAAACAAGTTATGAAAATTGTATAATAATGTAAGAAAATGCTCATGGTAAGTGAAGGAAGAGAGATGCAATTGCTGTAACCATAATTATAGCTCTGTAAAAGTCTGCATAAAAGAAGTGATGTAAAACGCCCAGTATTTCTATGAGAATGTCATGTTACCGATATAGGAAAAGTACAGAGTTCCACATTGAAAAAGACTTTTCAGGCAATCAAGTATATACAAGAGATCTAAAAACTGAAAAGTGAAAAAATATACAAAAGAATTATTTCAATTTCCTTTTACGTACTATTCCTGAAATACTATGATACCTACAATTGGGTTCTGCAGCTCTGGTGCTATAGAACTATAAAGTGGCAAGAACTTAAACTACAAGCTTACCTGTGTATACTCTGTCACTTCACAAGTCAAGTACTAAATTTGGTCACTTTACAAAATGCTATTCTCTAAAAATAAATAATTTATCTTTAAAAAAAGAAATGCTAGTTCAAAATTATATAGTAATTTCCCTATGTATATCCATTGCTTCTTTCCACCTGATTCCTAATCCAAGACTTGTGAAAAACACTCAGATGATTTTAAAGGGTGTGGGAATTGAGAACGTTTTGTTCTTATTAGCCAGATCCCCTTATTCAACAGTGTCCTCTCCACACACCCCTCACCCCATCCAAACGAGGTAACTGGTAAATTTGGGCCATAGTTTCCCTTCATGCTTGGCAGAGTAAAGATGTTCAACGAAGTATATGTTAATGGTGCTTTGAATGATAATACTCACACCCACATCTTACATATCAACTAATTCCTCAGCAAACTCTGGTTCCTACTCGATAGAGAAACCTATTTTGTGAAGTTATTTGCTTTATCTTGATGGAATTGAATCACATTTGCTTTTTCTGTGGTTTGATTTTTGTTCCTGCTTTCCTCTTGTATAAGAAGCAGCCAGGATTTATTCTTGACAATAAATAGCCTTTGTCATGATTTAGCTTCTGGCAGAAATGAAGATGGAGAAGGATTTTTTTCCCGTTGGGAGAGAAATTGCTGGAATTGTGTTAGATGGTAAGTTTACAGATGTAAATATCTGTATTTTCTAAGGTAGAAGAAATTACATGGTAGCTAATTGGTTTATTGGCACATAGAATCATACACACTTCAAATATAAAATACAGAAATGTTTTCTTTTTTTAAATCAAAAAGAAAAATAGAACTTAATTAGTGTTTTATAATTAAAGAGCTTATTACACTTTAGTAAATAGGGATTATATATTTAAATCTGTGAATAATTATATTGAATAGAATGACCAACATTCTTTTTATGATGTTTACAGACCAGCCTATATTACTTGTGTAATTTGGCTTTGGGCCAAAACTTATATACTAGTAACTACATTCACATTAAATTTTAAAGTTTGTCTAAAAATGAGTATTTAAAAGTTAAGCACTTTGCTCATCTAAAAATGGGTTCTGGGGAGAAATAAGCAGTAAGAGTTTTTGATTGCCTTAAATGAAAAAAAATTTTAAGTTTTATTTAGTAAAATAATGGTCTTAAATGCCAGACATATATGCCTAAGTACTTGAAATAATTTGTTTCTAAATAGACCTACTGTTCTTAATCACTGCTAATCGTTCATGATTAATCAGTATATGGTTGCTCTTTCTGTATGTATGAATGAAAGAATGACCATGTGATATAATGGGTTTGAGTTTTGCCTTTGATTTTAACCCATAATATATTTATTTGATACTCTTTCTCAATGTAGTCTAACACAGCTAAATCGTAATTTTGTTCCCTCTCCATTCTTCTGTTCACACAGCAGGAAAATAAAAATAGGAATTACAGTAGCCAGAAGATGAGTAAATATTTATTTATTCATTTAGTCCATATTTAATGAGCACTTGATAATTGCTTGATACGTGAAGATAATTAAGACAAAGTTTCTGCCCTCACAATGTTCACAATCTAGGGAGGAGACATACACACATACAAGTGTATTATTACAAAAGCTCTGAGGACAGATGCCCAACCCAGCCAGAAGAAACAGGAAAGGTTTTTTGGAGTAAGTTAGCCAGAAAGTAAGAGGCAGGGAGGGGGAGGATCACTCAGCAGCAAGGATATCATGAGCAAAGACAGAGAAACAACTTATAATGTGACGTATGTAAGAATTACAGAGTTTGGTGTTGCTGGAGTAAAATGAAGTTCTCGGCAGGAGTGAGAGGTAAGATACTTGACACAGAAACATTTTGTCAAATTGTATTTCAAGCATAGAAGAATAAAAGATAATGGACACAATATTTAATGGTGATATAAACACTCATTCCTTCCCCCCGAAAGAATGAGGCAGGAGGGTTGGCAAGGGCCAGACTCATGATGAGCCTCATATCAGCTTGGATTTTAAGGGAGATTATTAGAATAGCCATATGAAGAGTAGATTTGAGGCAAACACATAAGAGGACTGGTTGGGTTGTAGACCAGTAGGCAAGAGATGACAGAGTCCATAACCAAGACAGTGGTGGGAAAGATTGGAGAAGAGGGACATATTTAAGAAATATTGAGGAAGTCAAGTCAGCAGGGCTTAATAATTGACTGGAACAAGGGAATTAACAGGTAAAAGCCAGGGCTGATTTATAGGATTCTGGTTAAGGTATGACTTGGTGCCGCTGATTGATACGGGGAGAGGATTTGATTTCGAGGAAGACGGTGAGTTTAGATTTATGATTGTTGAGTTCAGGGTACCTGAGTGATATCCCACTGGAGATACGTCATAAGCAATTATGTGAGTTGAAGCTCAAAGGTGAGAGACATATATTCGAGAGTTGTCAGCATGTAGGTTGTATTTGAAATAATAGAGTTGATGAACTCACCCAGGAAGGGAGTAGAAATGGAGAGACATATGCATAGCATGGAACCCTTGAGAACCCACTATTAGAGGGACCATCAAAAGGAGTGTGAAGGAAGCCAAGAAAAAAGGATCAGAGTGGTCCCAGGAGGTGGAAGATCAGTGGCAGAAAGGAAAGAGAAAAGTACAGTGGATCAGAAGGCAAAAACATCGGAGGACGATGGCACAGGAGGGATCCAAAGAAATAAACTCTGAACAGAAGGCTTGAAAGTAGGAATATCAGACTTAGAGTTCCTTGCTGAGTACCAAAAAAATGAGTTCTGGGGCCGTTTTGATGACAGAGCCAGCCAGTGTCCACTTCCAGATTTGAGGCTTCCACCTTGCTTCACTGCTTCACCCCAGTCTCTTGTAAGTTAAATAAGAACAATGATGCCGACCTCGTGTTTGCCGTTAAGATTAAATGGGATAATACACTAAAATCCTGGACACAAGTTAAGACATTCAGTGACATTTGGCTTTTCTTCCTCTTTTCCCTTGTAACTATTTGAACAAAGATATTCTAAAGAGTTGACAGATAGTAGGAGCTTTTTCTCTACGTGTTCAGAGAAGATATAACTGTCTTTTCCATATAGTTCCAAAACATGTCTTGGCACCAGTCTCAATTTATTTCCATAATCTCAAAGTAATTTTATATGTGACTCTTACCAGAATTTCCCATTGTGTGTCTGAGATTCTGCAACTAAAATCATGGTAGAAAATCGGGCTAACCACTTGAAGGGTGGAAAGCAACATAATCATCATAGGAGCTGTGGAGTGGTTGTTTTCCTTTATTCCTTCATCCTTCTCTGTGGTGTCAACAGCTCCATGGCCCAGATTTTGTAGAAAATTTATAGAGAATCCAGATTTGAAGTGTTCTATCTGATCAGAATGTCCTAGAAGTTTTTGACCTTTTCTCTGAGTTCATGACTTTTTATAAACCCATGGATCTTCTTATTTGAGTTAAATAAGAATACATTTAATAACCTCATTATACTAATTATTAATTTTTTTCACTCTTTAGTTGGAAACAAGGTATCATTCTTTCAACGAGATGATGAAGTGGTCGGTAAGTTGTCATTCACAGTCCTATTTCAGGTCATCTATTTTACTGTCATCTCTTCTTTTTTCTATACAGTTATTAATCTTTATTGTGACCTTTCTTCATACTTTCTTGATTTTTGGAATTTGCTCTCAAATGTCCATTAACGAAGAAAATTGGGAGTTTGATCTCTATAGCAGAACATTTAAAACTTTTCAATATTTGTCTATTTAATAATATTAGAGATCAAAAAGACGAGCATAGTTATTCCTATGCTTGGTTCAGCCCTTTCCTGATAGGACCTCAGCCCATGGCTGGATCAGGGACTGT